CTCACGCTCGCCAACAACATGGAGGCGGACACTAAGATCCTCTGGAGACGTTGGGAACAAGGAAAAGGCGTGGCCAGACGATACCTTTCCTTCCACCTGGGAAGTGGGATGTCCACACCACCCGCTAGGCATAGCTCAAGAGGCGAATGAATGGTCCAGATCCCAGATCTTGTACAAGAGCAACGTGGAAACAACAGATACTGAGCTTTCTGGTGAACACAATCAGAACAAAGTAACGGTGCTGTTTCTGTGGTTAACCTCTGGCTGCTGCTACCCTTACGCTGTGCCCTTTCTCTGTGTGGTTTATGTCAAACGCCTATCAGATGTGCTCACTTTTGAGTCTCTGAGGACCCCAAAGCACTGCGTGGAGGCCAGTGCGGACGACTTCTCGGTGGGAGACTATCTACTCCCCTGACAACCGCCGAAACCCTGTTCTGTCCAGAGTAGCTGACCCATTGCCAGATACACAAAGTTCCCAATTCACAAACACATCATGTTCCAGAAACCCATCTAAATTTACATGAGGATCTATTTTCCCACAGAAACAATGTTATAAATGGTGGTAATGTTCTAATAGGCCTCTATTTCATAAAATGGCTCGACTTCAGGACAGAGAGCATGCCCATTTCTTAGAACATACTTTCAAAATAAAAAAAAAATATTTTTAGGGAAGCTTCAGAATTAAACACACACACACACACACACACACACACACACACACACACACACACACACAAACCCCACCCTCTTTAACCCAGTTTCTGCAGTGAAACATTTTGATGATGATAATAAGAGCTAACGATTGTATATAAGTTTGCTTTGAGGGCTTTTCTATTGACTAATTTAATCTTTAAAACACTACTACTGCCCTGGCAAGTGTGCTAAGTGGTTAGAGCGTTGGCCAGAGCACCAAAGTTCTTGGGTTCAATTCCTGGTCAAGGGCACATACCTGAGTTGCAGGTTTGACCTCTGGCCCTAGTTGGGGTGTGTGAGGGAGGCAACCAACGGATGTGAGATGGTCTCTCTCACATAGATGTTTCTCTTTTCTTCTCTTCCTCCTCCCTCCCTTCTCTTCCACTCTCTCTAAAAATCAATGGGAAAAATATCCTCCGGTGAGTATTAACAACAACAACAAAATCACAAACCAAAAAAAACCCCAAACAAACCCACACGACTATTAAGACAGCGCTGCTCATTAGTCCCATTTACAGTGAAGCCACACACAGGGAGGTCAGATGGTTAACAAAAGGCAGGAGCCAGGATTTGACCCGAGTCCAGGGCTGAGCCAGGGGCTGGTAAACTGGCCCACTGGCCACTCTGGTCTGCCGCCTGCTTTTGTAAATAAAGTTTTATTGGCACCTGGCCTCGTTCGTTTGCTTACATGTTGTCTGTGGCTGCTTTTGTGCTACAAAGGCAGAGCTGGGAGCTGCCAAAGAGACCCCTACCTCATAAGTACTTACTTTGAACCTTAGGCCTGCAAAGCCTAAACCAGGGGTCCTCAAACTTTTTAAACAGGGGGCCAGTTCACTGTCCCTCAGACCGTTGGAGGGCCGGACTATAGTTTAAAAAAAAACTATGAACAAATTCCTATGCACACTGCACATATCTTATTTTGAAGCAAAAAAACAAAACGGGAACAAATACAATATTTGTATTTGCATGTGGCCCGCGGGCCGTAGTTTGAGGACCCCTGGCCTAAACTATTTATTACATGACTTTTTACAGAGGTTTGCTGAGCAAGGGCTACACCATCCTGTGGCCGCCGCGAAGGGAAGGCCGACCCTCCTCTCCGACTCTCGCACGCACCTCCCTGCAGGCAGTGGAGGCCTGGGACTGGAGGAAGCCCAGGCACCTGATGTCCTCGCCAGCGATGGGCGGGCCGGAGGACTGCTGACTGCCACAGGGGGCCTCACGCTCATGCCTCAATCAGCTTCCTGCCTCATTTCCAAAACGATTTGAAGCAGGGCCCACAGGAACCCGGCAGACAGGAGGGACTGCTTGCTTCCATTCATTGCTGGAACATTATTGAACAAAGAACAGATATGTATTTTACGTTTTTGACTCAGGGACCTCTTGTGCTTCATTTGAAGACGACCATGGAACAGGTTAAGCCCGCCGACGCACTGCCTGGGAGACAGCGGTCAAGGTCCTGGTCAGTTTTGCCTTCTGGGCGGATGAATGGCTCCCAGGGGATGATGCCTTACAGGGTAAGGTCATTTCCAGGCATCCCGGGAATTTCCCTGGCTCCTAAGAGCTTCACTCACTGATCATGCTGTTGGCCAGGATTTTTTAAAATCAACAACAAATTTGAAATTTTTTCCATGTTCTTATCAGATGAATACAAGCACAGTGGCAGAGTTATGACTGCTGGGGTGTTTTATTATTATTCTTTCTTTCACCAGACTGAATGACTTCAGATTTCTGGGGAAGGATTTGAAAACCACATTTCGGGAACTCTTTCTAGAAAAGAATGAGCATGACCCAGAGTAGTGATTTTCAGCTGGTGTGCCACAAAAAAGAATTTTTAAACATGTACTACCTGGCCATTTAGCTGGGGGCCCGGACCTCTTTCCTCTTAAATTGTCAAATAAAAAAAATGACAACAGCCAATACAATAGCTGTCCAATGTGAATGAATCCAAGTTATGCCTATTTTTTTTTTTTTTTGGTCAGATCAGCAAAAGATAGAATGTATTTTTTGGTGTGCCGCAGAACTTTAGTCACTAGCATATGGGTGCCCTGAGATGGACAGGTTGAAAATTGCTGCCCTCGAGGAGGGATGCTGTTCAATGAGTGAGTCCTGCCCCTAGAACAGTGGTTCTCAACCTTCCTAATGCCACGACCCTTTAATACAGTTCCTCATGTTGTGGTGACACCGAACCATAAAATTATTTTCGTTGCTACTTCATAACTGTAGTTTTGCTACTGTTATGAATCGTAATATATGCAGGATATATTTAGGTGACCCCTGTGAGAGGGTCATTTGACTCCAAAGGGGTCGCGACCCACAGGTTGAGAACCATTGCCCTAGAAGGACCAGCTGTCAGGCGGTGTTTCATTGATCTGACTCACCACTGACTTTTAAATGAAAACACATTGCACTCAGCTGAATGAAACTGCTAGCAGAGGCTGGGAAAGTATCTATAAAAGAGTGGGTGGCGTGTGGGCGGACGGGTATGATGGAAAGCAAGTCTGTAATGCAGGTCCAGGGAGAGAAAGGAGCAGAGAGGGGAGGCTGGAGACAGTGGGAAGCGATCCAACTGTGACTGGGGCCTGAGCGGGAGGGCATGGGGTAAAGGCAGTCCCCCAACGTGCATCCTGAGGCCTAATGGCACCCCATTTGGGAGGGCTGGCTGTCCCCCAGCTTCTCAACAGTCTGGTCCTGGGGAAATGTCGCAACGGTCACGTTTACAAACCCCCACAAAAAGCCGCTGTCTGAGCAAACCCCGGCCTGGAGTCCGACCTGGACATTCCCTGTAAATGCAGACGGCAGGTGTTGTAACATCCTCGGCGACTTTTGACACCATCACTCGGGGCTTCCTGTCCAGTCTCTCGCAGCGTGTTTTACAAACGCTCTAAGCAAACACGCTAACAGAATTCCAGCAGATTCTAGGGAGTACACGCTGAAAGACGATCAAAGGGAAAGCTGGGATGCGAGTTCGCACAGGCGCCCCGTGCATGCCGCTCGGTGGACATAACCTTTCCTGTCTGGTGGGACTCGCCCGCGGCCGGTGCTCCACCGCAAAGGGCACGGCTCTCCCGGGAGGGAGGGCAGCCACCGGCAGGACGCGCACACACGGCCGCTAACCAGCCTCTGGGGAGAAACGAAACGCTGCACTCTTGGCCGCAAGCCCTCTGGTCTGTGTTGCTTTTTTTGAGTTTGGAACTCTGACCTTTATAAAAAGCTGGACTCGCTGCCCAGAAAAACAGGAAGGCCACTCACCAGGAAGCCCTGGAATGAAGCACTGAAAGTGGGTTAATGTTTCTCCGCCAGCAAAGCGAAGTCTCAGCCATCAACGCAGGTGCCCCCCTCATGATGCCCGACACCGTTCCCCTCCGTGGTCCCTGCCCCTGTGATCGCTAATGACCGCTCCACGGCGGGACAGCCAGTGAGGCTGTGTCGTCCCTCAGACGGGCCGTGTGGCATTGGGGATGGGGCTCCTGTCCTCAGCTTGGGGTGGAGGAGGCAGTAGATAATCCAACAAGTGGAGAAAAAAGCAAACAGGAAAAGGGCTGTGCCTGGCAAAGTTGCTTGAAGCTACCCCAACCCTAACGTTCATCCCTGTGTACCTCCACTAGAAAACATTAGAAGGCAAACACAGATACCCAATGGGGAGCAGAGAGAGCTGGTGGCCTTCCCCACAGATCTAGAGCCAACATGAAGATGCTGGAGAACCAATCGCCCCCAAACACTCCCAAGTGAAGGCCACAGTGACCCCTGCCATCTGGAGGCACACAGCCCCTCCTCCTCACGGGAGCCCTGCCCGGCGCCCCAAGACGTGCGAACCAGTTTCTTATGCAGAGATCAGCCACGTCCTCTCCCCAGGACATTTTGTCTCCGTTCTCTAGATCAATGGTTCTCAACCTTCCTAATGCCGCGACCCTTTAATACAGTTTCTCATGTTGTGGTGACCCCCAACCATAAAATTATTTTCGTTGCTACTTCATAACTGTAATGTTGCTACTGTTATGAATCGTCATGTAAATATCTGATATGCAGGATGTATTCAGGCGACCCCTGTGAAAGGATCGTTCGACCCCCAAAGGGGTTGCGACCCACAGGTTGAGAGCCGCTGCTCTAGATGCTAAGAGACACAGAATGCCAACTGCTTGCAAAGGAAACGCGGATCAGGGAATACTCCTGGTTTCAAACGAAGAGAAAGAGCAGCATTTCAGCTGCTCTTCGCCTCTCCGCCGTGGGATGTGACCACACCAGCCTGGCCCTGCCTGAAGCGAAGCTTTCTCAAGGAAAGGGGCCCTGGTGTGTGTGGGTGTCCTCACCTCGAACTTCTGCCTGAGCTCCGCGTTCCCCTCCTCGTCCCCTTCTGGAATGGGCACGTTGTAGTACTCCCCTTCTTCTTGGTTCAGCAGCTTGTACCTTTCAGAGACGGGAGGGAGAAGAGTCAGGTCCCGGGCTCAGCAACCCCTCTCCCTCACCTCACGCCTGGCTGCTGCTGCAGGCATCCCGCGGGGAGGGGACAGCCAGGCAACCACACAGCCCCCATCCTTTCAGACGGGAACCCGCTGGTTTCCAGATCTCTAAGTGCTCTGAGGTTCTGAGGCGACCAGCCCTGGGTGGACACAGACATCATCACCTGGGCTTCCTTACCATCCACTGGCCGGCATCTTCATCAGCTCCGAAACGCCGAAGGAAAGCGACCCCATGAAGTCGTTCCTTGTCGTCCGGTCCCAGTCCCAGATTTCTATGGACAGCCGCCGGTCTTTATCTGAAGGTTTCAATTTGCTACAAACGAACAGACACACACACACGATTACCTTGATTGTGGTTTCCTGGGAGATACCCCATGCTCATGATCCGAGCTTGAGATTAATGCAAGTATTAATCTCAATATTCAATTCTCTTGCTGTGACTCCCCACTGCCAACAAAGAACCAGCCTCCTGGCAAAACCAATGCTCTGGACTAGGGGTTAGCACAGGACAAATCTGGCCCACGGCTTGTTTTTGTAAATAAAGTTTTATTGGAACACAGTCATAACCGTTTGTTTACATATGGTCTGTGGCTGCTTTGACTCTAGAACAGCAAAACTATGTACCTGTAACAGAGACTGTGTGCCTGTAAAGTCTAAATTATTTACCATCCAGCCCTTTACAGAGCACAGCTTGCCGGCCTCTATTCTATACAATTGAGAGCTATCTTCATGGCTGACCCCAGGTGAATGGCTCCCTGTGCTCTAGTCTACAAAGAGGACCGCTTGTCTGTGCCTTGTCATCCCTGACGTATTTATACCCTCTTTCCTCTACCTTCTCTATCTCTGACCCACTTAAAATGCTACCTCCTCCAAGAAGTCTTCCCTGCTTAAAGGTCAGGATGACCTTCCCATTTCGGTGGCAATGGCGGCGTCGATGTTACTCATTTATTTCATGCTTTAAAAGTTATTATTCAAATTCTTACATCATACCTTGACCCTCACAAGATCCTTATGCTTTTATATCATCTGTAATGTAAGAGAATTTTTGTACAGAGTAGAGATTGATGATAATTCGGGGTCGGCATCATGAAACTCTTGGTAAACCAAGTTATTGACCATCAGACATGAGTGACCTGGTGGGCCCCCCACTCCCCCCCAGCAGCAGCCTGCGAAGCCTTCGGATCGAAGCCATGTTGCGCGACATCTATAACAAGCCCCACTACAGGATCTCCAGCCTCAAGGCGAGCGGGTTTGTGGTGAGCAGGGAGGGCACTCGGTCAAGGAGAAAAGACAAAACTTACAACGTGAAGGACTCGTTCCACTGGGGGTTTAGTGTGGAGCGGATGGTTTTGGTTTTCTGTTTGCTTTCATTCTTGGGATCAGGAATGAGCTTGAGCTTCACGTACGGGTCTGAAAGTCCATTTGGGTCCATGGGGATTAGATTTTTCGCATCTTGTACTGTGAAGGGAGAAGGAAGAAAGATGAAATGAGAGAGAAAGTGGGGGGGGACCGACCCCCACCCAGCAGGGAGTGGACAGGACAGCACGCGCTTGGCGGCTTGGTGGCCCTGCTTTCCAATCCTGCCTCCTTCACCAGGGAATCCCGCACGGAAACTCACCCTCACCAGCCTCTCTCCTCAGCTGGGGAAATGGACGGGGCATGTTTCCAGTGGCTTAGCGTTGTTGGGAGAATTAAATGAAATGAGGTGCTATGTGCTTCACATAGTTGGTGGTTTGGGAAATGGAGGAGGGAAAAGAGATTCACGCTGTGAGTGCCCACTCTGCCCAGCCGACGAGGTGGGTGGTCTCCAGGGGACCTGGCTGCCTCTGGCTGCCTGAGAACACCCCCCCCCCTGGCCCCCCGC